GATCACGTTTATCTTGACATCGTGGGCCCATTACCTTCGTCACAGGGCAACACCTCCATACTTACCTGTATTGACAGATTTGCTCGTTTGCTAGACGCCTTTGCGATTCCCAACAGTACAGCTGCTACCATCGCACATGTAGCCGTGAGCGGATGGGTGACAAGGTGTGGTGTACCACGCAGCATAAAAAAAAATATCGGGACGACAGTTTGAATCGTTTTCATTTCTTTCGCTCGCACAACTTCTCGGGGCACAGCAGATACACACAACCGCATATCAATCCATCGCCACTTGGCATGGTTCAAAGTTTTCATCGATCACTCAAATCATCACTCAAAGCACAAGGGGATTTAACACATTGGGCCAGAGAACTGACTCTAGTTCTCTTTGCACTTGGATCGCCAGTCAGAGGTAATCTCAACTGCAGACCAGCAGACCTCGTCCATGCACTCCTCTTCGCCTTCCCGGACATTTTTTTACCCGACCGATCGTAAAGTCGAGCTTCATTCCGAAACCTTTGCTAGCGAACTAAACACCCTCATAAGACAAGTTCGGGCAGTGCAACCAAGGGTCCAACAAAGACCGTCAATATATGCGGCGCAAGATCTTCAAACATCCACGCACCTTTTCGTCCGACGAGATGCGGTTTGAAAGCCGTTACAGCAGCCATATGACGGACCCTTTCAAGTCATGAAACGACGATACAAGCATTTTCTTCTGGATAAAGGTGGTCGAACAGACACCATATCTCTTGACTGACTTAAACCGGCGCATTTGGAAACGGCCTCCAAGACTCGACCATCTCGTCATATTTCGGCTAGCCAACCGTCTGCATTTCCTTTTTACACCACTTAACACAAGCTCCTACGTCGTCACGTCATGTGGGCCACGCCTCTCTGCAGCCTGCTTTCCTAGGAGATGGGCATTTGTAGGGGACTATAGTAGGAGACGACGACGAAACCAGAAAGAGGACCAGAGCACGAGACTGACGAGAGCTGGTGTGGATATTCCGCTGCCCGATATCATTCGGAATCACTTCGTTATTTTAGGAGCATTAAACAAGTTATAAGTGTAAACATAAAAGGCGACTGTATGAACGGCAGTAGAAAAGCTTGTTTGTACTAACTTAGTGGCGAAAGATAAACTGTGGTGGGCACAAATCCGATATCTCCAAGGCTGAATCTAGGCCACCGCGGCTGAACGGAGCCAACATGATCTAACGTCGTCGCTTGAAGGAATGTTCGCGTCCGCTCGTGCCACGCTACCATTAAACCGAAAACCTGTCGAACTGAGAATCCACAAGAGGGTTCATTTGTCATCCATCTGTAATGTCATGTGTGAAAAAGAAATATTAAGCGGTTTTAAATTTGAAAAGGTCTATTTCTATCCTATAATCTACGAAGAAACGAAAGCGGTAGCTGTGGCACGGTTGGACAATGCGGGTGGAATGGTGCCTTCATGTACATGAAAAAGGAGGTGCGACGTACGTAGTTCTCATAGCAGTCGTGTTTGGCGCCTTGGATGCCACTGACGACTGCCACCAGTGATCCGTGAATCTGGTAAGCGCGGCGAACATTTCTAAAAACATACAACATTACGTGTAGCAGCTGGATACTGCCAAAGTGGGATCTGGCAAAACACCAGTAATATTGGAAAACAAGTCTTTCAAACAGACGACACGATGAACCTTCCGTCGTTGCGCAATTCTTGGCTCGACGCCAGTGCTGCCGTCTTCGCTCTCTGCACGCGGCACAGCGTACGGGAAGTGCAGACTTCACTTTCTTCAAAGCAAAAAAAAAAATTGGATTTTTTTTGCTCGCATGCCGTAACGACAAGGGACGACGACAAAATCTCTGCAATGTGTCGCCCATAGAGCTATCGCCCTAAAATAAACTCTGGCCCAATATACCACTAGCTGTCCAAACCAGACACCAATGTTTAAGAACTAACCGTTTTCTTAATCAAAAGTGTATCGATTTTTTTCAAATTCTAATCGGAAATTGGTGTTTGTACTTGGCAATTGCCGCCATTCATCTCTATTAATTGGAGAACGCCATCTGCTGCCATTTTCACGCTTAGAAGCTCGCCCATGATTCTTTAATACGATTACCATTAGTTCTTAAACCTTGGCATCTCATTCAAACCGCTAATGCTACACTTGGGTGGAGAATGAGTATTCCGAGATGAAGCTTACCGCCTAATATTAATATAGTATGTTTTTGTGTTAACATCAACCCTCAATATTTTCGTTTTCGTAGGAGGGGTGGGGAGGCATTTCGTACATATTCGGCCATGTGCAGCCTATTTATTTAGGTGTCCAGAAAACTAAGTTGTCGAGAGACAGGAAAGCAATCATCGTAAATTTGTTCTGAATTTAGGGGGACGGGGGAGGGGGGCGGGGACATATTCACTTTTTAATGTCGCCGCTAAATTTTTTGACTGAATAGACGTCGAGCGGCCTGACATGCCACGTCGTGGTATAAGGCGATACCACGGCTCGGCACCGTTAAGTCACTGTACCACGTTACCTAATGTGAAATGACTTCAGGTTGAGAAGTCGCGATAACCCGTGATACTAAGGCGTCATGATACTAAGGCGTGACTTGAAGCGACGTGGCGTGACGTCATGGTTTCGCTTGATCGTACCTCGCATGTTGTCAGGTCAAGTGACATGAATTTCCCCGCTAAAGTTAAAGGGGAGAAATAGACGTCAGTCAAGGTCTGTTTTTACATGACTTTAAGAGACATCAATTTATTTTACTCTAGATTTAGTGTGAAAATTCACTTCACGTTACCTGTGGTCACGTGAGGTGGTCCTATGACCTGACTTCACGGCCTCACGGGGCCTAACGTCACATGACGCCAGGGAACTTGACAGCAATTTTTTTTTCGCAAAATGTAGCGATGAATTTAAAGACACGTTGTGAATACGTGGGGTCAAGTGACAGGATCACGTCATCTGCCGTTAATTTCTCAATTGAAATTGTGATTGTCATTGTTAGTTAGGGGAAGCATGGTAGGGGATAACAGCTGATAGAAGAAAAATTGTTAAGGGGAGGAGGGGAGTGTTTCAGTAGTATCGTGGCAGCAATCATTGGCAAAAGAGGTATGATTCGGGGCCAGAGCTTCCGCTAGAAAGATCATGGCGCGTCGCAGAAGTCAAAGCTCTGCGAGGATGGCCATAAGGATGTCGGTGCCAATAAGACTTTGATCATGCATCCCTTGCTTTAATTCCAGTGAAATGTTCTGATTATTGTTTTGCTTTAAATGTTTATAATAAATGGAAAGTGTGAAAATAAATAATTTGCATCAATTTTTAAATTAGGTAATGTGACATCAGCTTTGGTTGGTTCCGGTTCTAACTGTGTCCCCTAATGCGCATCTCAACTTGTTAGTGGTCAAGTGGTTAGGCCTATGTACCATGTAACACCGACGACTTAGTTGAGCTTAATGACAGCTGGGAGATGCAAGCGGTCCTTAGGTTAATCACAGCTAAAAGTACCAGTGTAACTAGGATATAAGTAAGCAGACCTTCAAAATCAACTCCGGTCTATATTATATATACGTTGTTTTTTTTTTTTTAAACTTGGGATTACGACTGTTTTAAGTTAAGAAGTGTCTCTGAATTACAGGGTATACATTTTTTGTTCGATATTGTGCGTAGGTTTCTAGATATCAAGGTTCAAAGTTGGCTTTCGGGTGTCTACGGCAAAGCCGAAACTATCTGCTAGAGGGATGGCAACACTGATCATCAGCCGTACGGCCGCGACGTGACCTCGCAATGGTGCCGGGGTACGCGGTAGAACCAATCAACCGCAGCTTCACCTCGACGTTACGTCACAAGGGTGCTACGCCAGTGTTTATTGACTAAAAGCTAACCCACTTGCCACCCGTTGGAGGACAGCTGGTCGCATCTTTAAAATTCATTTTAATGGACCAGGCGGCTTCACTTTGACGTATCATTCCGGCTGTGATTATATTTCGTGCCACTATACAGCGATTCCAGTCATTTATTTTGGTTTCATTTTCGACCGGAGTTGCCCATTAAATATTTTCAGGGGTATTGTTGTGGGAACCATATAAGATGATTTGCAACACAAACAGGAAGATGCAAAAAAAAAATAATGACCCAAAGTTCAGTTATCGCTGCAAAATATTACAATCAGAAAGCATTGTGGACTTTTTCTTTTGAGCGTTTTCTGATGTTTTACAGAAATGAACTTCCAGTGCTCCACTACCTTAGTGAACATGATGCGAGTACTGTTTTATCGCTTGCATTACACTGAATAATCAATCTGTCGGTTAATCCCCATCTTCTAGCTCGTGGCCTATTAGTGCGGTGACGGGAAATCACTGAGCTACAACAGCTTCCGGAGCATAGCACGTGCTTTGAGCATTGCCAATGCAGATACGTGGCTGTAATGAGCATTAACGGCACAAGCCGCCGAAGGGGTAGCCGACAGCCTGGTTCGGTTGCCATTGGGAGGGGTCAACGGTCGTTGACTTTCTCTATAGTCGTCCATAAGAGTTTGGTCACGAAGCCAAAACTATCTAGAACATTTAAGGCCTTCGGACATCCTCATCTTCCTCCAGGAAACGCGATTCCTGCCGGATGGTGCAAATTAAGTAATTGATTCCAAGCCCGAGCCGAGCGTCCTCAACGGGTGTATACGGACCAGTCACCCTGACGCATTTGTAGGGCGCAGGCTTTGATTATTCCATGGGGTCTTGACCAAGCTTGGAGCTATCCCCCGTGAATTGCGTTATGAACGCCACAGCTTAAGTATAAAGCTTAAATAGAAAAAAGCAAATATGTAATTAAATTATTAATTCAAAGTAAACACAAAGAAAAGCATTATAACGCACAAGCACCAGAAACCTCGGCCGAAAATCCGTGACCTTAAGGCCTTCCCCTGGAGAAGTTATTCATCAGTGAAGGCTTTTGCACGCGACTGACTGTAAGATGTGGGCTTGTAACCGACCGCTCGGTAAACTCCCAGTGGTGTCGTCAGGGAGCGCCTCCATCGTCGGCTGGGTCCTCTTCTCCCGGATCTACTCGACGTGGGAGGGAAGAAGCCTCCGACTGGACACCATCTTCGTGGTACCCGAGTTCAGGAGACAGGGTGTCGGCACGGCGCTGCTCAGAAGCGTTATTCAGGTAGGACATATCTCAACACTGTTCGGTGTCAGATATTCTTAAGTTCGCATTTCTGTCCTGTAGCAGGTCGAAAAAATCGTGATAATACAAAAATTGATGTAATGGGTGATTTAACAAAAGGCGTAATTTATAGCAAAATTTAAAGTTTCTAAGCTAAATGGCGCAACCTACAGTCTGATACAAATGGTACAGTCAATATCATCTCTGCATAATTCATCCTATGATAGAAGACAAATGTTTGCTGCAAGTGCTCAGTTTGTCTTCACAACGCCTGGCAAGAATAATGTCGTCTTCACAACGCCACGCGAGAACAGAGAACCAAAGCGGACTCATTCTGCTACGATCAATGGCGAAGTTCACACTTCCGGCTGCCATCAGTCGAGCGAAAACTTTTTGACCCTCAACCAAATGGCGAAAAAAACGAACGATTCGGAGCAGTCGTTCATAAACTAAATTTCTAGCCCGGTCGGCGAGCCCCCGAGATGGTTTCTATTTAGAGCCATTGGGAAGGGTAATGCTGACGCGTGACGTTTGTTGACATCTTGCATTCCGGCATTTTATTATGGTGCACTGCACTCTTAGCCTCGTTCCGAATAGGCTCCAATTATAACCCGCACGTTTTTGCAAAAAAAGTTCCACTTAGCCAGGAGGAAATGTGTTGCATAAACATCTTAGTTTGTTCAGAATTTTGTTTCAGATAAATTGTGAAGGTGGTTATTAAAAAATCAGCCCTCCCCTTACTGACATCTAAAGAGCTGTTCCACATACTGTAAGGACAAGGTTATGGGAAAAGTGATCTATGTATCGATATGTGGAATACCGTTTCAGATGAAGCAGGCCTGGCTGTTCCCGTAACTTTTAGATATTTAAAAGTCATTCATGTGCACCATTTAGAATGGTATTAAACGCACTCCATAAAAGCAACACAAAAATACAGTATAAGACAAAATCTTCTGGCTACACCAAACTTTCTGCTGCTGTGGTATTCGCTTTCGTTAAAGGAAGTGGGAAGACATCTGGAGCATTCAGTGTACCACAAAATTAGAATGATAGCAGAAACAATTTACATCGATTAGTTAGTGTTTTGGGAAACATATAAAAGGACAGACTAAATGTCAAAAACTGATTCAGCAATGACATGCTTATGAAAGGTGCAATTGCTTTATATATGACAGTTCTAGAGTGTCAGTTTAAGTTCGTCACAAAACAAACGATAAAAATTATGAGTAGAGTTCCTCTGTTTGTTTGAAAGACTAAGTCAGCTGTAGGCTTGTTTCTTCCTGTACTAAAAAAAAAATGAATGTGATAGCGGCCCAAAACTTCTGCGTAAAAGATGTCTTTTTCCTGCAGATTATTGTGCTGTACGTGATGTCAATATTTGCATTATTCTACAAGACAGGTTTAGAGATATCTAAAACATTACGTTGCTTCCTTTTCAGTCTGTTGCAACTTCCCTGAGTGAGTGAATAAACATGTCAGAAAAACACCATAGCGCTAGTCCTTGCTTGCATTAGTGTCACAAGCATTATTAGTTATATTTTCTAATATTCCTAAACTCGCGTCGAGGATCGTTTACGATTATTAGAACTTTCAGATGAAACGGCCGAGGTTCTAACGCCAAACTTGGCGATCACATCTAGGCACATTTTGCTGTATCGCGTCTCCACGTGCTTTAAAGGTTTCGTAAAGTGCTTCGAACACAGTTGAGTTGGTGGGACTTGGGGACGCTGCAGCTTGACAATCTGCTAAAAGCATATTCCTTCAGAGCAGGATTGTAAAGAAATGGCCGATCAAAACTAAGATTAAAATTGTCAGGCCAAATAAGGATTCGAAATTGGGCGTAAACAAATGTAAGATTTAAACACAGGATGATAATTTTTTTTTATAGGCCTTCATTTTTGGAGCCCAAATTGTATTCTAGGGTCGACTAGCCATATTTATTCCGGTATTAACTTGGTCCAGGGCTCCTTGTCAAACTGAACTTGGCCCTTTGACTCCGGTGATAGGTTAGGATAAATTCATAGTCGTGATTAAAAAAGACAATTCAAGAGGGAACCACAAAGTCCATGTGTACTAGGCGCTTTGACATGGCAAAAAAATCACAGGACAAGTAAGCAGTACATTTAGCTCACAGAACTCAGGTGCGACGCTGATGTCACGACAGGTATTTTCATTACACCAACAACGCTAGTTTCTTCATAGATTGCTCGCTTTAGAACTGGCAAAAATTGTTCAATAAATATAAATCTGTTAAAAAAAACGAATACGATACTTTTGTTTTAAATTTACAGATATCTATTATACAGACGTTTTTAAGCTAAGTAACGAGAAACGAGATGGCAGTTTTCGGGTGATATATGTATTTCCGGTTTCTGAATGTTGCGTTCTTTTCTTCTTTTTTTTATCAGACTTGCGCGATTTCCGACGCGTATTATCGAAATTTGCTTCTAAATGCTGCGCTGTTCCGAATGTTGGAGCTTGTTACGGGCACCATTAAGCGTGTCTAGGAGGTTCTAAGTTCACCGACCCGTTCAACCCAACTAATGCAGAGATCTTAAAGTGCGGCGTTGGTATCCATAAGTGACCTGGTTCTACACGTCGGAGTATTTGACAGCGTCATGACGAGTTCAAGGCATGCCCGCGAGTCAAGACTCAAGACCAATTTATGCAGTTGCTCTTGATTACGGTTCTAGGACTTAAGACCGCGAGTTGCCGCTGCATACGTGTTGCGTAGGTCTCGTGTCCATTGTTTCCACGCTTGACAGGGACGTCCATATGACTAGCGGTAGTGACTCAACGCAAGTTCTCACAACCTAGTCAGACCCTGCTCATAGCTGTGCATAAGCCTTTACCCGTGCATCATCGAAAGCACAAAAGTACGGCAATCGGTCGAAGGATTAGCCTGTCGGGCGGCATACTAAGGAAGTATGAGGCAACACGTAGTAATATTACGACGTAATGCAATTAACCGTTCTCAAACGCTGGTGCGTAAATGTAGGCAAGCCAGCCTAGACATGCCAGGAACACGCTAATTCTCCTGAAGGCGCGGAGCTGTGTGACGAAAATTTAGCCAGGCGCAAGGTCCCGAACGAAGGTAACGCGAACGACGTCGCTATATACTCCCGCGCTCGTTGCACCACTCAACGCTCGTTAGCGGAATTTCTTCCGCAGCCTGTGATACGTTTTGAGAGTGGTGACAGTGCCAAGTTACCGGACCTTTCAATAAATAGAATCCGCGGCGATTTCTTTCCATTTGCGGGGATAATCGCCGAGTCTTCGCGATTTTGGCAATGTGGCACAGGCGTCTAGAAAAACAGGAAGCGCGTGACAAGGGAAGAACCTTTGTGTCGTCGGCTTGAAAGACTTGTTCTCAAACATTCTCGCGTTATTCGGAATCCCAATTTGGCAGTATTCAGTTGCTACGCGTTATGCGGGATGGTTTTAGAAACTTTCAACGCGCTTTTACACTCTCATGACGGATCACTGAGCACGCATGGCGGTCGTCAGTGGCATCCACGACGCTAACCACGACTGCTATACCAATTAACGACGTCGTACCTCCTTCACAATGTGCGTGACGGAAACATTTTACCCGCATTGCGCGACCGTGATAAAGCTATCGCTTTTGGTTCTTCACACATCGTGGGAAAAAAATACGACTTTTTGCTATTTATTATTACTTTCTACAATTCTGCCTCCTCCCCCCCCCCCCCATGCAATACCCTTTCTTAAATAGCCTTTAGGGTCACTTTAATGATAATATAGTAACAGTGTTTATTTTCGTATGCCGAAAACTAACCAGCGAGTTTTCACTTCGGTGAACAAACAGAATACAAGCAAAAAATGTAAAACGAGAGCGAAACAATTGAAAAAAATGGTCAAGCACTGAACAGCACACTCAATCCAGGAAGTGTCAACAAGCCCTTTCCTTCGGTTTGTAAAAATAATGAAGTAGCTGAATAAGTCTCTTTCTGCCTTACTCAAGCGATTAAAAAGCGATTGCATGCTCCTTAAAGGTGACGGGAAAAACATGGTGCTGACATAAAAGTATCAAGTGATTTTCTAGTTGAACGAAATGGAGCACGAATATTCACGTTATATTAAAGCACGCTATTTTATACTGTTCCATTTTCTAGCGTGTAGAAAAGAGCTAAACCAGGTTCTGTTCTTCTATCATATACGGTCCTCAGGAAAACTTTCGAATGAAAAAACATGTAGTCACACTAAAATCTATGTCAAAAATAGCGTTCGTAAGGAATGCGAAGTAGCTTTCTCTGGACATCTTTAATTTTTATGACCCGAGATTGAGTTAATGAATTTATAAGTAAATAAAATACAACACACCCAACTAATGCCCAATAAAAGTGTGCCAAAACGAAACTGCTCCGTTCAAAGAAAATAAAACTGTGAAATACAACTGAACTCCTTACGTCTAGAAGAAATGACAAAGCGTGAAATCATACCTGCGTCGGGTTAAGCACCAAGTTTCACACAAACGTCGAACTGACGTCGAATGGTTGGTGAAAGTTGACCGCATTAAGAGTGCAACAAAGAACTAAAAATGTTTTATATGTTGTTCTCTGGACGTAACACGCATGTATTAATGTTGCTTTTCGTCACCCCTCGAGGGAAAGTCGACGGCTTGAAAGCGTGTCTTTACAAAATCCCGGCCATTAAAGAAGCCCGAGATACGCTTAAGACACATACATAGTATACACCGTCGGCAGCCAATGCAGACATATGTCTTCAAAAAGATTATTTTACTATATTATGAAACTAAAGGGAGTCTGTGGAACATTTTAGCCTATGGTTTGCTCACTGTGGAAGGAGAACCACTCGAGATATTTAGCAAGGCTTGAAGATCTAACAAAGACCATTCTTGAAACAAAGACCATTCTAGAAATCTAGTGAGGTATGATGGTCCGCCTTGACTCGGTTGAGCAGACGACATGATCATATGCACTCGTTTCGCAGATGTGCCGCGCTGTGGGATGTCAGCGGATTGACTGCTGCCCCAGGGCGAAGAACAAGGGTCTCATCAGACTGCTTGAGAAGCACCAGGCCAGGGACCTGAATGAGGTCGAAGGCTGGAGCTTCTACCAGCTCAACCGGGACTGCATGAGGAAGCTGGAGCAACAACAATAAAATCGTGTCTGGCAGGACATTTATAACGCGATGGAAATGTGATGTTTGCAGTTGTAGTATGTATTGTCGGGTACCATAGTACATGTTACAAAAGACGCAAAAACCAAGGGCGCGTTGAAGAGCACAAACACTCTGTTTATTTTCGACAGCAGACCGAAGAAAGACAACCCAGATAATTTAGATTTCTATTTTGGTCATGAATCGGTTCGGGCAATTCCCAAATAAAAAGTGTAAAACTATTTTTTATTCGGTTTTTCCTTGTTTATTAGTTTTATTAAAGCAGATATTTATGGCGTATATTGAATCTATATTAAGTTTAATTGTTGTCGGAGTGATGAGGGAAACCAAGTTGTTCACTTCCAACCTGAACGCAGATCCGTGTTAAGTTTACCTTTTACTTTGTTCTCGGTAGCTCAATGTTGAAATGTTCTTGGTTGTTAAAGATGGGTACTTCAGCTAAAATTTAACAAATAACATGACTTCGGCCCTCCTCCTCTCCCACCTCTCAAAATCGTCTTGTCACTTTCCAATATAGTGCTTACAAGATGTAATATTGAGAAATGTTCTGCTTTAAACGTCTGTTACCATTTCATGTCTGAAGAAGACAAGAAACCGGACAACCAATTATGGATAGTCAAGACCATATAATTTACGTATTAAAAGATAAAAATTTTTTTAGGACACCAGCTGTTTCTTTCTATACATTTAATATTTATAATGCGTTCATCTATCAAAGCTCATAAGCCACCCGAATACACTCAGCTTAACTGCAAAAACAAATAAAATTAAAAAGAAAAAGCAAAACACTATTTATATCAAATGCGATCGACGCAGGCAAATATCTCTAAATATTTCCTTGTACATTCTTTATCGGGTGTGTTGGCATTCAATCACTTCCGAGCGATGCAAGTTGAGTACCCCAAGTTAGCTTTTGCAGGGAAATTGTCGAATTGAATACATCCAACAGTGACTTTGCAGTCATTCCCTCGTCTAAACATGAATCTGAACAATTAAATTAAGTGTATTGGATACACATAAAGTCTCCAAATAAAACATTTTAACCCCCCCTACACACAGAGAGAGAGACACATGATTCTTCGCTCAGCTATGAAACACAAAGGCTTCGAAAACCACAGACCCTATGCAGACACTTCCAATTTTCACGAACGAGCGCCCCCAACAGGTATGTACATCCACGAAGCGTCCAGTGCCCCAGATCTGTTTCTGCTTGTGGCTGCGCATCCACGCCACTACAGTCTTCCAGCAAGTGTTTTGTTTGTTTTAATTTATTCCACATTTCCTAGTAGGTCAAAGAATGTTGTTCATTTTTTTACAAAGTATGATGATGCGGCTTCATCGCAGTATCACGCAACGCATTCGTTTGAAGGCGAGGAGCTCCTGAATCCAGGCGAGGGATTTCTCTGATGAGACCGATCGTGCTTTCGGGAGGCACTCGCTTTTAAACGCTCTCTTTGGAAACCTTTGCGCCAATAACTGTAGAGTGTGCACATGGTAGGCACAAAGACGGGAAAAAAAGATGTCATAAAAAGGCCTGCCTTTTTATGCTATATCATTTATCAAAAATAAGTTAAGAATTATATATTGAAATTCACATGCCTGGAAAAAAGTCATGCGGTTTGTTCTCAAAAATGCGCGGTGAATTAAGTAAAACAAAGTCAGGCTTTTTTTTGGGGTTTCGGTGTACTTTTTTAAATGTGGCACTACCCACTAGGTTCTCACTAAACGTAAGACGCTGTAATACGTGCATGTAAAACAAAATAATTACTTGACGCCAAATCACGGGAACGCGGTTAAGTGTTCGAATTATACAGGTGGTATCATACAATCAGACTGCCGCCTGTTCATTCCAGTTCTTGGTGATGGGTCAAACATAAGTTCGACATGATTTTTGTTCGGTAGGCATTAGAAAGTAGGAGCTGTATGTTTGTTTCTTGAGGTGGTCCATGATCAAGGTTTGCATCGTGGCATTCAAGGTTGAAGTTCTCGACAGCACCCAGATGTTTTCTGAAACATCAAAAAAAATATCAAAAAACCTTTTCCGAGATAAAACATAAACATACATCAACATCTCATGCCACAGGTTTCAGGCTCTTACAATTATTTAAATCGTTTTCAATTTTGCTCGGAACGCGTAGACGAGCCGCCTTTTCTGAACAGCTTCGTCAGCCTTGCTGCTTTGGTACATTTTCGCAGTGGACTTTGACCGAAGCTCTTTTTTATTTAATGCTTTAAAAAAACAAGAGCCTACAAGCGCAATTTAGTGCGGCTATGGCACGTGTAGCCATATGCTGGTAACTTCGCATTTGAATAACACATTTTGTTCGTTTTGTATCGATCCTTATTATACGTCATCTGAAAGGATTTAAACAATTCATATAGGCAAATAAGTTATCTAGACGAATATATTTTTGCTACCACCGACACACAAAAGGAAACTAGCTAAATTTAACTACGTCTACATTTTTGTTTAAGTTGTGCAGTGTGTTGAGGTGGAAAAACAGCCTCAAAAAGAGAAGGACAAGTAGAAGTAGATCTCCACTCCTTGTTGTATTATGTGATTCGTATATTGTGCATACAATCTGTCGGGTGCAATAGGGGAGCTTGTCTTATTACGCTTATGGTGTTTCTTATTGTACATGCATCTATATAATGAAGGGATGCGTTTGAATTTTCGCATCTTGTGTGGGATCACTGGGGTGAGGAATGAACAATGCGATAGTTTTTTCCGTGCATTAATAAATATGTACTTGCTAAAATTAACTCAGAATAGCGCTGATGACTATGCGCTAAACATGATCATCACGTGCCAAATTGCAATTGTGTTCTATTTAAAAATCTCGTGAGCCAAATTCCACACACACACAGACAGACAGACACACACACACAAACACAAAATACTGCTTTAAGAAGCACCAAGAAAATAGGGGCAGTCATAGTGAGGAAATAACAGTGCGTGTGCAGGCCAGCTAGTGATAATTAATCATAATGGAATAAATATAATGAGATGTCATTAAACAAGAATCACTTACCTCTTCGCACGATGCCACTGATCAGATTGTTTTCGCAAGCCCAGAGCACGGCGTATGTGCTGTAGTCTGAATCAAGCACTAACATAGGAGATGAGTACTGGAAGGAGGCTGCGAAGGAAACCAGAGTGTTATTTTGCTAACAGAGAGATTCCTATGTGTATTCTTCTTATACACTATTCACCGATGTTTGTTTGCCCACAAGCTCGCTACAGCCTTCTATCGGCGGACGCCGGCGCGATTCCGGTTGTCTTCTTTTTTATTTGTCTCTCATCCATTTTTTATTTGCAGTACTTCCTACAAGGCGCACAGGGTTCTACATACGTGTTACAAGTACCCATCCAAAGGAAAATCTTGTTTGATTGCCGTGCGTTGCTGTAGAACAAAAAAAAAATGAAAGCCGTTTACAACTCCCTGTAACGCCGAATTAGAGCGCAGCTCTTGAGGAGGAGGGAAGGGTACTGGGGGGGGGGTGGGTCAAGTGACCTCGGGGGGCGGGAAGTCACGTGACCTTGGGGGTCACGTGACCTTGTGGAAGTCACGTGACCTTGGGGCGTCACGTGACGTCGGGGGGTCACGTGCCCTGGGGCCACGTGACGATGCCGATGACGTCATCAGTGACGTCACTGATGACGCCATCAGTGATGATGACGATGCGGATGCCGGTGACGTCATCAGTGACGTCACTGATGACGTCATCAGTGATGATTACGATGACGATGCGGATGCCGGTGACGTCATCAGTGACGTCACTGATGACGTCATCAGTGGCTATGACGTCAACGGGGGGTCACGTGACCTCGGGGGGTATCCCCAGGTCACGTGACCCTCCCAGGGGTCACGTGACCTGGGTAACCATCGTGACCCTCGTGAGGGTAACCCTAGTAACCCTTGTGAGGGCAACTCTCGTGACCCTCGTGAGGGTAACTCTCGTGACCCTGGTGAGGGTAACTCTCGTGACCCTCGTGAGGGTAACTCTCGTGACCCTCGTGAGGGTAACTCTCGTGACCCTCGTGAGGGTAACTCTCATAACCCTCGTGACCCTCGTGAGGGTAACCCTCGTGAAGGTAACCCTTTTGAGGGTAACTAACCCTCAAAATGGTTACCTTTTGAGGGTTAGTTACCCTCGTAACCCTCGTGGGTTACGAGGGTAAGTAACCCTCGTGGAGGGTAACCCTCGTGAAGGTAACCCTTTTGAGGGTAACTAACCCTCGTAACCCTCGTGAGGGTTACGAGGGTAAGTAACCCTCGTGAGGGTAACCCTCGTGAAGGTAACCCTTTTGAGGGTAACTAACCCTCGTAACCCTCGTGAGGGTTACGAGGGTAAGTAACCCTCGTGGCCCTCATGAGGGTAACCCTCATGAGATTAACCCTCGTAACCCTCACGAGGGTTACGAGAGTTGCGGTTACGCCGACGCCGACGGCGACGCCGACGCCGACGCCGACGCCGACGCCGCTCAAGCCGGGAACGGGCCCCTAAGAGCTGCGCTCTAAAAAATACACCACCGTAATTCCACCGGGGCACTAAGTACTGCGGTGCCCTCGTGTTATCAACTCCCACCGAATGCGGTGAATAGAGTAGAGTCCATGTCTTCTCGCTTTTTGTTCGAATTCGAAAAACGTCTTAAGGAAACCTGCATTTTTAGGCAATAGTATTGATTAAATAGTTAGTGAATAAAAATATGCACTTCAATGAGTGTGATTCCTCTCTCGCCTAGCCGCATCTTTGAGCATAAAAACTAAAAATACGAATCGTCATAATTGCTTAAGAAAACGTGAGATAGATGGTGCAAGGCATAATTAAAGTACAGAAAAAAGTGCAGTCAGCATAAGACAAAACGGCATGAATATCCATAAATCCATTAACCAGTCACAAACCATTCGTAATTATACAAAGTTGATTTTAGTTGATGTGTCGAGGTACAGAGAGTTGGGAGAGATGTGAGCCTCCTTTAAAGAGTAAATCGCCACCCCGCTTTGGGAAAGGAGGAAATTGATGCAGTTTATATGGACTGAGTGTACATTTAGGAATATATCGGTGTTCTTAAGAAAGAAAATCTGGTGGAAACAAAGAAAACAACTTGACTTGGACGTTTTGATATACCCGGAGATAACAGAATGTGTCGCACGTGCATTATGCGTTTGTTTTAATGTGCAATCTTTGGCCTCGGATGAATTCAGATACACTACACACAAGACAGACTCTCGTGGCCTCCCGCTTTATAAAAATGATTAAGACAACTTTCAATTTATTTTGGCGTGGCGTGTATAATGAGCATGCTTCAATAAAAAAGATTTCCAAGGTTTCTGCTTTTATTGGGGGTGCTGTAGGGCCTCGATTGTTCAGTGCTCTTGAATTTCGAGGAGCCCCATGTGGTACCCCAAGTATAATCACCGGAGCAGGAACTTCATCGCGCTCTTTACGCTAACTATTAACTTCTCTCTCAAAAATGTGACGTCATAACCTGATGCGCTATCCTTTGGAACGCTAAGACCCGCCCCATGATGTGAATCCGTGCGGGGAGCTACGCCTCGTCGTTCTGGAGCCTGCTGCGCTCGCCAACGGTCATGAACAAAGTAAGTCGTTCTGTCGTTCTGTGTTTTGTCTCTTGTCTGTATCCCCAGTCTCGGGTTACAACTATGCTCAATTTACACCAGCTAGCCTGCACCCTCACCATTGCTTCATTACTAAGTATAATTTGTCGCCGATGGTCGCCTGTGGGCAGTAACCTGGGTGAGTATGGCTCACTTTCGACGGTTGCTTGATAACAAAGTTTACTGGGCTAAGTATGGCACGCCGCCGACGGTCGCCTGCGTACTAAATTTCCTGGGCTAAGATCACTCGTCGCACAGTCGCACGCTAACACAGAGGACTGTCTTTCGCAAGTCAGGCTTGGTCAGCTTCTTGCGATCTCTTGCACCTCCTGCTTGTGGTTCCGAGCAAAGGCGTCGGCCTGTGGATTGCGTAAGGCGGTGTTCGATTCCCAATGAAACCCTCAGTGAATCTCGATGGTTGCGATTAACGATAAGACTGTGATGGAGCAGGCCCGAGCTGGTGTAGATTTCCCATTTTCTTGAACCACCTGATGACTGGGTGGAGAACTAAAAAAAGCAAAAATGGAAGGGATAGGAACAGAAAGACAGAAGGCGTCTTTCCTGTCCCTTCCACTTTTGGTTTTTTTAGCTCCCCAACCAGTCTCAGGTGGTTCTAAAAAATGGTGGTGATTAATTTCCTTGAGTTTGATTACACGGGGTGTTTACTTAATATTCAGGCCAAATCACTCGTGCGGAAAATACGTACCAGAGAAAAAAAATGGTTTATGTCGTAGTTGTCTGTGCCAAAGGACCCATTAAGGTTCCCTTTGACGATAGGCGCCGCAATGCAGTGACAGAAAGTAAGAGACACAAGACGAAGCTCTTTTGTGTTGCGTCTCATCATGTCTGTCCCTGTCTTGTGGTGCTTCTTGTCAAAAAGAACTATGTACCAACTAGCCCATTTGCCACTTACTGAGGCCTATTAAGGAAAATAAGTAACGTTCAATATAATTTAGTACTTAATTGCTATTAGTGACCCCAATTTTAGTTATTATCTTTGAAAGTACGGTTTCACAAAGAAATTTGATGCGAATGATACGAAAGTAATAAATCCGCGCATAATACGATGGTACAAGGCACGCGCAACCATTTACGGCGTTCCGAACGATTGCTTTAGTTGGGAGATTTTCTAGGTGGTTGAGTTTCTTGTCAGAGCGCATCTCCGTGCCAGCATTTGCGCCCACTGGGGCCAAAGCGCTAAACCTACGAGCGCCGCCACGCATTGCGCTCAAATTGCGTCGTTATGCCATGGCACCGACGCCAAAAAGTAAAACCTGGCTGTCCAAGGCTTCTTTCAAATTGATATAGGTTCATGTTTTTTCTTGGTTCGCATGTTAAGTTGTATTCAATATTATATATATTGTGGAGATCTATTTATTGCTCTTGCAATGTTGAATTTGTTATACCTCTGGAGCTGCACGGACGCAAGAACCTCAGCTGTTTTACAGATTTTATCGTTGTTTCCTCAATTGGTGTTTTTCGAAGGGGAAATGAAATTCATAATACTTCTATTAATATTACTATTATTAATTATAATTTTTATACAGCGAACACGCGTGCCTGATTTTCTCCCGCTGCTTCTATGGAATACAGAAATTTCTACGATGCTCTAGATGCAAGCGTCGTGCTCACACCGAGTGCGTAGGCTGGCCTGCTAATGAACGCAAAGAATCGGTGGAGTGCCTGTCACGTGGTACACGGTCCGCGGACGAAAATCTCGATTCGGTCCGTCGTGTGAATCGGCTATTGGCGCCGAGATGCATTGGGGGTGCCACCTTGCGGGCGCTCTCCTGTGACGGCGCGGGTAGGATGCGATGAGACGACGCGCTATGTAATAGCACGGAGTCGATATGTTAGTTCGCATCCATGTTGATTAAAACGGTTTATTTAATAAAAAAATGTGTATGATGTTTTTTGTGTGTGATCCTTCTAATGAACGACAGCGCTTCGGAGTTGCGTTTTCAGATTGAAAACTTATAAAATATTCAAAAACAAGTCTGAAGTTTCACAATACAGCTTGCGCGGGGTGCGTCAAAGCCATTCACAGCCTCTCTGATTCTTTTTTTTTTTTATCTGTGCAGGCTTTGGTTGGAAAAGGCTTTGCATTCACTAGAGCAAGTGACGTGCTGTCATCTTAGCTGTGCACGTGCACAGTTGTGTTTCAAAGCGCCGCAGATTTTTTTTTTTTATCTACATTGAGCTTGCGTATGTCAACGCTTCTATCTAGGTGTGGCTCGACAGCGGCCGCCGAGAAAAAGCTCGTCAGCAACTGACGCCTAGCTCCTCCCGCATCGAATACGTGGCAAAGAAGTTTGTTAAATCGCAAGTTCTGCTAGAAAGATAAGCAGAAATTTGCATAACCTCTTAAATTGACGGCCATGGCCCGGCAAATTCAGGTGATTGATTATTTGTTCTATATACTTTTACTAGGAATTGTTTACCAATATATTATCACTCGCTGAGAAGTGCATCGCGCAGTATGCGCCATTCCTTGGGTCAGAAAAATTAATCATACA